TCTCAAAGCACTTTACCTACATTATTTTATTTGAGCCTCATAACAGCTCTGTGGGGTAGGTGCTATTATTATCCCTATTTTACAGATGGGAAAACTGAGTCTGAGAAATGTGAAGTGACTTGTCCGGTGTCATACAACTAGTAAGTAACTCAGGTATCCTTGCTTTTACGTCCAACATTTGATTATCCACCACACCCCCTAGCTGCAGTGTTTCTATAAAGCCCTTTAACAAGCTATATAAATTTGGGCTATCTTTATTTATCATTAAAAACCCCCTTTTATCTTGCCTTATCTAGCCTGGCATGCATCTGCCATTCTTCCCACTACATCAAACGATTGATTGAAATCATCTTTGTCCATCGGTTCTCTCATGGGACCATGCCTCTGAAGAGTATCTTTAAGGTAAATTCTCGCCAGCTGGTGCACCAGCCTCTAGGCCTCCCTGCTCTACTTCACAAACACTCTTCCTGGCTGTGGCTTTGTGGTAACGTATGGTAACGACATCTCGTGCCCAGGGCCTCTGATCCCTTGACAAGATCTCTTACCCACTACATTATTTCAGCCTCCATAATCTCTCCTTCCCTCCCCAACCCTTCACCTCACCCCCTTGGAATCCCAAGTACAGTTTCCTATTGATGTTTTAAGCATTGCAAAGTATCATATCCCTTCAGTTTTCCTTCCCCTCCCCCTCTTGGCTCTTTGGATGTGATTTCAAAATTACTGATATATTTTTAAGACTTCTTCCTGCCAAGTAGATACTTGTAGATTTTGCCTTTATTTTTGTTTTGTTTTGGTCTCCCTCCCTTCTGTTCTTTATAATTAGAGTGGAGGTGTGGTCCAATGGTCCAAAGATATGGCTAGGGCCAGCGGCACTTTGAGTTTTGGCTTTGATCTTTAGGCTTCCCCCAAGCTTTGGCCAAATCCCTCCAAACTTTTGTTTCATCCTGGCTATAATGAATAGATTAAGTGAGGTGAGGGTGGAATGAGGGCAACCATAGATGGAGAGGTAGAAAAGACCACAGAAGTCATCTGGTCCAGCCTCTTCATTTTACAGATGAGGAAACTAAGGACCAGGACAGTGAAATAATTCTCCCAATGTCACACAAATAATAAGAGTCAGAGGTAGGGAGAATATAATTTCAAAATGCTAAATGTTAAGTTCTTGGAGAAACACCTTTGTGCCACAACTGAAGCCAGGGAGTAGAGAGGGGTCTCCTTTCTGTCCAGATGTGATAAGGAGTGAACAGAACCAGTAGAGATGGGTTTCTTGGAGGCCAAACCTAGCTCTACCCGAGTGTCCCTTGTTAGCTGACTTATTGGGATGTAGTATGGTGCAGTAGGAAGTATGGCCCATGTGGCAGTCGCAGATACAGGGCTGAAGCCCAGCTTGGACAATTAGAGTGGTATGGTGGCATGAATGAATGAAATGAAGGAAAATGCATTTATTAAGCACTTTCTGTGTACCAGGTGCTGTGCTAATTGCTAAGGTTACAAACAGAAAGAGCAAGATAGTCCTTTTTCTCAGGAAACTTCCACTCAAACTGGGGAGACAACACATGAAAGTTTAGCTGTAGGGTGGATGGCAAGGCCTGCAATTCCAAAGGGTGTTGTGGAGGGGCAGATGATGGCAAGGTCAGAAGGTCTTTTGAAAAGAGTACAAATTCTGGAGTCAGAGGACCTGGGTTCGAATTCCATCTCTGACACTATTTGACCTTGGGCCTCAATCTCATCTGTAAAATGAGGGGGGTTGAACTGTATGGCTGCTGAAGTCCCTTCCACTTCTAAATCTCTGATCTTTTGAATTTTATGTTTTACTGAAGTAGAGAAAAATATTAAATGGATGTGCATTAATCACACTCGTTTTAAACAACAACAACCTTGCAGCTGGGCATGATGACCCCTGCCTATGTTCCCTGCCACTGGGAGCTAATGGATGATTGGAGGGAAGGAGTTCTGAGTTTCAATGGGCTAAGCTGATTGGCTGTCCCCATTGAGTCTGACGTCATTATGATAAACTCCCAGGAGCAGGAGTTTGCCAGGCAGCCTAAGGAGGGACAAACCAGACAGGTCACAAAAAGCAGAGCAGATGAAAGTTTCCATTCTGATCAATAATGGGATAGGGCGAATGGCCATTGAAATTCCAGCCTGGGGGAGATGGGGAGACCCAATGTTCTCCTATCCCACCCCTCTAAAAAACTACTCAAAGCCAATCCCAGTGGAACATGGGGTTGAAAGCTGAGAGGGTCCCAGTGTTGAGGAATGGTGTGTGAGTGTGTGTGTGTGTGTGTGTGTGTGTGTGTGTGTGTGTATGTGTATGTGTGTGTGCGCATGTGCACGTGAGTATGCAGACCCACGATCAGGTGTTTCGTGACAGAAAACCTGACGCTTGATCTCCAGACAATTTTGGTTGGCTCCAAAGTGACCTTGAAGCCTCCAGTGTTGTTAGTGGGGGATTTAGTGGCCCCGTATAAACTTTCAATCTTGCTTCGTAAACATTTCAATCCTTGTAAATTGTCCCTTTCCTATTGATCATCTGACACAGCTCAGAGTTGATTATCAAGTCCATTAATCTCACTTAGTGTTCCTGGAATAGAAAATGTTGCCAAAAAAAAATAAGGCCAAGCCAAATGCAGCCCTTTCCCCAGGGTGTCCCAGTCACAGCTTAGGCCTGGGGGAAGAGGTGGAATTCCATGCCCACAGGGAGGACAACCCTGCCCTTGACTTTGAGAGGTCTTCTTCCAATCTTCTTCCCCTCTAGAGGTCTTCCAGAATCCAAGGTAAGAAGTCTTCATTCTGTCCCCCAGGAGCTGGGGAAGCTTCATGTGTAGACATGGGAGCTGAGTTTGCCATTGCAGTTTAGGAATATAGTAACTGGGGGCTTTCAACAGTCCCTACTGAAAGTGGGTATAACCCACATGGATAATACCAGCCTCTTGCCTCTACCTTAAAGTAAATACAGGAATTTGGCTATGTTGTTGGTCAGTCGTTTTTCAGTCGTGTCCAACTTTTCATGAGTCCATTTGGAGTTTGTTTGCCCTTTCCTTCTCCCCCTCATTCTACAGATGAGGAACTGAGGCAGACAGGGTTAAGTGACTTGCCCAGGGTGACATGGCTAGTAAGTGTCTGAGGCCAGATTTGAACTTAGGAAGAGGAGTCGTTCTGACTCAGACCCAGCACTCTATCCATTGTACCACCTGACTGCTCTTGGCTTTGTTAGTATTGCTTTAATTCTTTACTCTTCTGGTAGGTAGCGTATACAGTGGAAAGGACATAAAATGGGAGGTGGGGTTCAAATCTATCTGTTACTTTAATAATTAATAATAATATTTTTATATAGTGCTTTAAGGTTTGCAAAGTACTTTATAAATGTTTTCTCATTTTATTTTCACAACAACCCTGAAAGATACTTGCTATTATTATCCTTATTTTATAGATAAGGAAACTGAGGAAAACAGTAATTGAGTAATTTGTCCAGGGTCACACAGCTTGTAAGTGTCTGAGGCTTGATTTGAACTTGGATTTTCCTGCCTCTAGGTTCAGCACCCTATCCACCGTGCCACTTCCAATCTAACCTATGACCTTCAGCAAGTCTGAATTTCTCTGAATCTCAGTTTCCTTAATTGTAAAATGAAGAGGTTGGACCAGATGGCAGGTCTTTCCAGGACCTGGGTTTTGCTAAGTAAGCTTTTGCCTTACCTTGTCCAGAACTCAGGCCACCACCTACTTCTGGCCATTTCTAAACCAGGCCACAACGTTGATACCCCTTCACCCATGTCTCCCCTCTCTTCATTTCCAACTTTGTGTGTTATCCTGCCCTATTAGAATGTAAGCTTCTTGAGGGCAAGGACTTGCTTGTATTTAATGTCCCCAACATTTAGCACATAGTATGTGCCTAATAAATACTATGAAATTCATTCATTCTTTCATCCCAAGGTACTTTCCATCCTGAAGTTGTATGATCATAGGTATAACTTGTCTGAATCCAGTCATTTGTTTCCAAGATGTGAGTGAACTTAATGGATCAAATTTGTCCTTCCTTTTGAGATGCCCAGCTTCAGTTTGCTACAGGAGAACCAGGCGAGATATCTCAGTCCAAGCTGATTCGCTCTACTATCCATTAGGAGTCTGGTAGTGTTAAGACTCACACTGGACCAGAGGGAAATTAATATGGCTTCATAGGTGACTTTCAGCAGGATGTACCTCAGGTTTAGGAATTAGGAGGAGGAGGAGAAAGAAGAAGAGGAGAAGGAGAAGAAGGAGTAGAAAGAGGAAGAGGAAAAGGAGGAGGAGGAAGAGGAGGAGGAGGACCAGGAGGAGGAGAGGAGGTGATGATGTTAATGATGATGACAATAACATTACAGAGTTCAAAATTCCCTCTAATATTAAGAATCACTATTCTCCTGGGTGGTCTACAAAAAGAGAGGTGATATCCACTCCAATGGAGAGACTAAAGAGAGAGAGACTTTTCTTTTGGACAGTTTTGTGCAGGGTGCTCAGAATGTAAATGTCTCCACTCATTGACCACTTTGGTCAGTTTTCACAGCTCCTTCCAGCCTCATCTGAGGTAGTCATGGAGTAGATTAAGTATGCATAGGGGACCAAGAGAAGTGAAACTACAGAAATGGACTGGAAATGGATCTAGGTGTCCTTGGCGTAGGCCTCTTTAGGTTCTACTGTGCATTGCTCTGAAGCACAGTATTGCTATGGGGCTGGGGAGGGTGAGAGAGGCTGGTGGAAATCCAGTCTAATTTGAATGTATCAGCAGGACATTCCAGAGTTGCGGTTATGCAGCGTTCATACCAAAAAGGACCAGCATGTGTGGCTTCAAATCTGAATCAGTCAAGAATGGAAAACCCCAAATGTAGACTCTCGCCAACATTCCCCTGATCTATCGGGCTAGCCTCCTTGTCATAGAAGGAACCTTGGTTAGCCTGGCCTCATCTGTTCTTGATGAAGCCACACTGGCTTTCTGTGATCTCCGCTTCCTTGTCTAAATGTTCTCTCGCTGTGACTCTGATGACTGGAGTCTCCTGGGATGTGAAAGCTCTCACCCATTTGCATCAGTGCTCTCAGAATCTCTTTGCAGTCACTTGATGATAAGTTGTTTGTCTTTCACATTGTTTCTCCAGGGTCGGTCTTGCTGGACTGGCACCTAACTCTGCCACGCTCTCAGGGCTTCCCTAATGTTCTGGGGAGGAGGTAGACAGCAGCCCAGAGTCTCTGGTATCCAGCAGGGTTCATGCATTTGAACACAAACCTTTTGCAGAGGCAAAGCAGTATGTATAAGGATGGGCCTTTGGTAACTGTCTTTTGGTTGCTATAGCAACAAAAGAAGGCACACAACCTCTGCCTACTAGTTCCCTCTTAATTCTTCCTTCACTTAGAGGTGAAGCATCCGGGGA